CCGGGTCCCGCCGGGTCTACCGGGGGCTGCCGTTGGCCCCCGGCCTCCTCCGGGCCCGGAACCCCCTGGGTCGGCCTCCAACTCCGGGGTGATTACTTGGAGGGCGGGGGGATTAGGGTTCCCCCCATTTCCGCTGGAAATTCCGTTTTCGAGTAATTTGTTCGGGGGAATAGGAAAATAGAATGAAATTTTGGGGGAAATTAACGGATGAATTCGGGCTTTGGGTGGACCCGGGAGCACGCGGCGCCGGGGCGGGTGTGCGCGGGGCGAGGGCCGCGCCCCGCGGGATGTGCAGGAGGGAGGAGCGCGCAGGTGCGCAGCCGAGGCGGCCTCGCGCTGGGTGCGGGGCTCCGAGGTGCGCAGCCCGAGGCGGCCTCGCGCTGGGTGCGGGGTGCGGGGCTCCGACGGCCCCGCGCACACCCACTCCCCTTCTCTCCTGCCCCCACCAGGCAGCTGCTTTTATTTGAAAGAGTTGGAGCACGCGCTAGCTCTGTCACTGGCTCACTCCCCAGACGGCTGCAACGGCCAGGGTCGGCCCCGCTGAGGCCGGGAGCTCTGGGTCCGCGCCGCGGGTGCAGGGGCCCGAAGTTGTGGACCTTCTTCCACTGCTTCCCCAGGCCACAGCAGGGAGCCGCATGGGAATGCGGAGCAGCCGGGACTCGAACCGGCGCCCGTATGGGATGCTGGCGCTGCAGGTGGTGGCTTTACCCGCACGCCACACGCTGGCCGCAGCTTTTCTCTTTTTAATATGGTTTCCTTTGGTTGTTTTTAACTTTATTTCTTAGAAGTTTCGATTCATGGCCGGCGCCGCGGCTCACTAGGCTAATCCTCCGCCTTGCGGCGCCGGCACACCGGGTTCTTGTCCCGGTCGGGGTGCCGGATTCTGTCCCGGTTGCCCCTCTTCCAGGCCAGCTCTCTGCTGTGGCCAGGGAGTGCAGTGGAGGATGGCCCAAGTGCTTCGGCCCTGCACCCCATGGGAGACCAGGAAAAGCACCTGGCTCCTGCCTTCGGATCAGCGCGATGCGCCGGCCACAGCGCCGGCCGCAGCGGCCACTGGAGGGTGAACCAACGGCAAAGGAAGACCTTTCTCTCTGTCTCTCTCTCTCAGTCCACTCTGCCTTTCAAAAATTAAAAAAAAAAAAAAAAAAAGTTTAGATTCATGAGATTGAGCAGAAGTGGAGTTCTCGTTCCCTCCCAGAGCGGTGCGTCTGTTACCCGCGATGGACCTGTGTTGATGTCACCGAGTCCACGGTCGATCCTGGGCTCAGTGTTGGGGTCATACAGCCGAGGTTGTGACAGTCTATGACGACATGGATCCACCGTTACGGTGCCGAATGACGGGGTAGATGGGATACGTCACGGCCCCGCCGTAATGATGGGAAACGTCACGGCCGCTGCTGTATGTTGAAGTACGTCACGGCCCTTAAAATCCCCTGCCTACTCCTGCTTTATCCCCTGGCACTACCTTTTCCCTCTCCATATCGTGTAACTGGTCATCCAGCCCTGTTAGATTTGCTCCATTCACTTAGTAACACGAACTTCAGTGTCTGCTGTGTCGCTTCATGGCTTGGTAGCTATCTCTAGAAGGGAGAAACGTCCCAGTGTGTGAGTGTACCACCAATAGGGACACGCCCAGTGTGTGAGTGTACCACTAGCAGGGACACGCCCAGTGTGTGAGTGTACCACTAGCAGAGGGACACGCCCAGTGTGTGAGTGTACCACTAGCAGGGACACGCCCAGTGTGTGAGTGTACCACTAGCAGAGGGACACGCCTAGTGTGTGAGTGTACCACCAGCAGGGACACGCCCAGTGTGTGAGTGTACCACTAGCAGGGACACGTCCCAGTGTGTGAGTGTACCACTAGCAGGGACACGTCCCAGTGTGTGAGTGTACCACTAGCAGGGACACGCCCAGTGTGTGAGTGTACCACTAGCAGGGACACGTCCAGTGTGTGAGTGTACCACTAGCAGGGACACGCCCAGTGTGTGAGTGTACCACCAGCAGGGGGACACGCCCAGTGTGTGAGTGTACCACTAGCAGGGACACGTCCAGTGTGTGAGTGTACCACTAGCAGGGACACGCCCAGTGTGTGAGTGTACCACCAGCAGGGGGACACGCCCAGTGTGTGAGTGTACCACCAGCAGGGACACGTCCAGTGTGTGAGTGTACCACTAGCAGGGACACGCCCAGTGTGTGAGTGTGCCACTAGCAGGGACACGCCCAGTGTGTGAGTGTACCGGTTTAGTTTTCCATTAACCTACCGCAGAGCATGTCAGTTGCCTCCAAGTGCTGGCCGTTGGGAAGCGATTGTAACAATCGAATTATGAATGTGACAGTGTCCGCTCATTTGGGTAAGCACATGGAGCATGACTACTTGACCATGTGGGCAGAATGTTTTTATAAGAAGCTGCCGATCCGTCTCCACAGTGGCTGTGCCATTTTGCATCCCCACCTGCAAACAGTGTTGCCCCCGTGCTTGCCGGCATTTGTCACCACAGTAACATCTCAGACCTTATACACAGAGAGTCCGTGGCTTTCCTCTGGGAAAGGAAGAACAGAAGCTCCCTGGGGTCGGGGTCGGGGTATGAAGAGAGCCCCTAGCATCTGTAAGCTTGGCTCTTGTCCATGCGGTGAGTGGGTGGGAGTGGCAGACCCAGAGTGTCTTACCTAGAAATCTGCAGTGGCTGAGCCGTGAAAGGCAGAATGCAAACCAGCTACCCTACAGTGCCGGGGCACTGCTCCTGCTGGGGGCAGCCCGCTCCTTCCACAGCTGACAGTGTGCTGTAGCTGTCCAGTCTTAGACACCCGGAGCTCAGGTAGGGACAGCTGTTGTGGGGCGCACAGCGAGACTCTGAGGTCCAATTAGGAGTGTGTATTAGCCGGCTGGCGATTGCCGTCTCCCAGAGCAGGTCCAGAGAAGACAGCCCCAAGTCTCCAGTGTGTGTGTGTTGGGGGGGGGGGACGGCTTAAAGGCAGAAACTACATTCTGGTGGCCTTGGCCGTTATCTATCAAGCAAGCAGAGGTCCAGAAGCCAGAACTATGCCGGGTACAGCGGGAGGAGCAGACTGATGCTCTAGCTTGTTTCTCTCAAAGGAACAGTCCCTGCTCTGAAG